TGCAGTGGAACAAGCTGTTTCATTTCACAGCTTGGCCGAGTCATTTATAGCCCACAAAAAAATTACTTAACACATGCTGGCATATGTAACTTAATAAGGCTTTCTTTGAGAAGGAGGTGGAAGATGGCATTTGTATACACAAAAACATCCATACACATACCCAACCTAGCACAATATGTTAGCACTCTTTTGTGCCATAAACCTAGTAGGCATACTATCATGATAGCTGGAGATGAAAATTTTTGGTGAGAACAAGCCTATTCACTCCTCACATCATGATTTCCAGATTCCCCCTCAGATTTATACTGCAGCTCTGAGGCACTTTCAGTGAAATATGCTTAAAGTCTTGCTCATACCTCCCTGGAGCTACACACTGGAGAGCACAGCCGTGTGTGCTGCACAGCTTGGGTACCAGAGCAAAAGCTTCTGCACTGACTGTTCATGTGGAAGACAGGTATGCTCTTATATTAATAGTTTTCCTTTTGCATACTTACATTTCCTGGTGGGCAGCAGCTCACAGTTGAGATGCTCTTTCTCTTGCATTAAATAAGAATGATTACTGAAATTATTGTTGCTAATAGGACTACTAAGTGTAAAAGTATCAGACCTTGCCTATTCTGTGTGGCAGTCAGAGCTGTGATAATTCTAACAAAGCTCATTGTCACTAACATACGAAAGAAAACCAAATCTGTCTTCCAGAACCATCAGAGTATTTTGGGGCTGGCTGTAGAGGACCTAGGAAATTTTAGCATAAGAATGAATACTTGTAATCTCTACTGGGATTCTACTAGCTGCATAATCTGTCCAACAGAGCAACAGAGGATGATCCTTCCCATTAATAGGATAAATATGGAATCAGCTCAGTCAAAACTAAAAAAAAACCTATAATCCAAATTTTGCTCAGGAGAGATGAACAGAAATGTTCTGCAGAGTATTCCATAGTATTATGCAGAATTTAAGAGTTCTATAGTCTGTGGAGGACTGATGTCTGAAGGCATCTTACAGAATTGTGGATATGGTTCCTAAACTTGCCAATCTGGAGAAATATCAATTTACCTTTGGCTCCTGCCTGGAGTCTTCTAGTAAATGGTAGGGGTTTTTTTTGTTTTGGGTTTTTTGTTTTGTTTTGGTTTGTTTGGTTTTTTTTTTTTTTTTTTTTAAGTTTTTAACCTTTCACCAGAAATCTTTACAGACTAATGTACCTGCTTTTTAGTGGAATGCACACTTTACATTTTCTCTCTCATTCAGCACTCAGCTATGCCATTATTCTTTATTTCATACAATGCTGGTTCCCTCAAGCTGCTATAACAGACATCCTAAAGTTGGTATTTCATTGCGCTGTTAAACTGATGTGTATGGCTAAACTCCACAGAGATATATTTGAATAAAAATATTACATAAAAACCTAGAGCAGAATGAAAAGTACAGGGACAGTAAAGCACTTATGCAAATCCACTCAGAGATTTATAATGAAGACTGAGATGATGGAAAGAAAAAGACAAAGGGAAATTGTGTTTCTATTTAGAATGTTTGTGAATTGGTAAGAAACCAGTTAACGGAAATGAAAAACAATGGCAAAGGTCAACATTTTAAGTCCATATTCCAGGTGGCATAATGATGCTACAGAAGAGGTCACAATCTTCTGTAGGGGTGAAAATACCAAAATGTTTCTGAGTTTCTGAACTTCCATGGGAAATGAGAGAGATAGTAGAAGTCCTCTCACAAAGAGAGGTGAGCTGGGAATCATGGACTTTAGTAAAATAAAAGGGCCTATTATTCAGTCATGGGAGAATATGATAGCTTGGTAGCAGAGATGCAAGGGGAAATTATTTATAGTGCAAAACTCAAATTTTTTTGTATGATCACCTAAAATATCTTTTCAGGACTTTTTAGAGAAAAAAGTCAGAGACTGAGTCCTCTCAGATACTGGTACCTTTCCCTGGTGCCACACAGAAATGAGGTAATCTTGCCTTGGAATCTGAGGGTGTTCCAAATAAGAGGGTTAGAGACTATGATTTCTTGGCTTCCACCTGGATTTTATATCAGTTCCACCTGCAACTGGAAAACTTTTCTGATGAAAAGTTTCCCCGAAATGATGTTCATCAGAAAAGGTGAATAAGAAAACACACATATGCTGATGCTTATCTCTGTCTGGCTTAGAAACTCTCTCTACATTCTCTGAAATCACTGAAGCATATACCATCTATCTGTAGATAAAAAGAAATCCAACTATTTTGAAACTAATTAAAAATCCTTTTCTGCTCTGGGCAGTATGCATGTAATGGAACTATTATAATTAGCTGAATCTTTCCAATAATGAATACAAAGAAGTATCTCATAGTGAGCTAATGCTCTGACATCTCCTGTAAATCTACTTTCTGGCAACTGAAAAGTTTAGTCTCTTGTTTTGAGAGTTAATGCTTCACAGACTTTATGCACTGAGGCCAACCCTCATGATTTTGTCAAGAATCTCTGAGATTTAATATTGCTCATTTGAAAATGCTTATAATTCACATTTAAAAATTAAAGCTGTGCATATGGGAATTGAAAATAGAGTTTTGCAGGACCTCAAAAATAGAAAGTGCAGCATATATTCCTTGCATGTTATTAAAAACTTCTCTGGTGAGTTTTTAAATGTAAAATACCTGGGACATGGAAAAAAACAAAAGCTATTACTATTGTATACTCATTATTAATTTTTAATAAAGTGCAGCATTGCATTTGCAATCATCATCCATGAATATGATGCCAATACCTGAAGAAATTTCATAGACTTTCTTTACAATCTCAATGAATTTAGAACAGAAAATAAGGGGTAGTGTGTGGGGTGGGGGGTGGGGGGGGGTTAAACTAAAAACAAAGATAGATATAGGAAACCAGAACATCTTTTCCTGAATTTTTAAGTTATTCAGAAAGAATTTCATACTGTAAGAGAGAAGATTGAATAAAAATCTGATATACAGATTTATTAAACCTCCAGTTCAGGTTTGCATGAACTGAAGAGAAATAACTTCCTCCAAAGAGTCACTACAAAAACAATCCTGTTAAAGTAAAAAATATTTAAAACTTTACAGCATTGCCTTTTTAGATACCCTAAAGAGACACAATATGACTACTGAGTATCTGCTTGGAATTGGCTCAAACCCAAGAAAATACACTGTTGCTTAGGGCAATGTTCATGAAGAATGACTTGCCAAGCTGCTGCCTGCCCATGGTTAGATACCACACCAACTGAGACACCCAGCACCACTGGAGAGAACGCTGCAAAGTACCAGATCAAGCTTCTCCTACTTCATCACATAGAAGAACCAGTGTCAGGTCGCAATTTCAGTGTTATTTGTGAGCAACCTCACAAATTTTGAGCAAACCCAACAAATTGCTTCTGCATCTGTCAGGAAAAACAGTCTATGATGTATATTTTCTCACAGAATTTGTCTCAATTCTAAGTCGGAAAAAAATATTAAAAGCTGTATAAAATCTCAGAAGTAATTTTAACTGATTAAAGGACACGCAAAATATTAAATGATTGAGAACTGAGAAAACAAAAGGATTCAAATGCACTTGTTGATTGGTGGTAATGCTAATTATTTTTCTGTTGTGATTATCATTGTGAAATACAGGATTTAATAGCCAAAGAAGCTGAAGACCATGTTTTATCTTTGAAGTTATTTTATTTGTTGCCTTGTTGATGCCAAATTTTATCCTCTTCACAAGTACCACACATACCACAAGTCCCCTTTCACGAGGTGCCTGTTTATGAAGTTTCATAACACCCCTTGCATGAGGTTTCAGAAGCAAAATTTTGTGGATCCATTGCTGAACCACAAGACTCTGAGTGCTGTTATAGTCATGTTCCTCTCAGTCTTGAAGTCACAAGGTCTGTCTGTTGGTAGCTCTTCCAAAGAGAAAGAAGCTTTATTCACCAGTCAAATCTATACATTTTACCATATTTATATCTGAAATTTGAGCATATGTATGCATTGTAATTCAGGTGAGCACCAATTTAACTTCTCTGCACATTTTCATTCCTCCTTCCCAACATAGTTTGGCTGCAGGAAAGAATGCAGACCTTTAAGTCTATGATTCTGACCAAGGACCATCATACAGATGTGGAGACTGCAAACTTGCTACTGAAATGGCTCACAAGACATCTAATTATCCTGTGCAAAGCACTCCACTTCCAATTTTTAAATAAAATCCATACAATACAATTCAGTAGCACAACATAAACAACCCTCTACATTAAATAGAGCTTAGCCTGAGATGTCCATCATGCTGAAAGCTAATAGTCACAATTTCCATTAAAAAATCAAAATTTCTATCTCAGACCTTTTGTGATAAATACTTTCAGCAGCTTGCACTACTTCTTCTTTGTGAAATTTTTGGGTTTATCTCTTAATAATGATAATGATAGTGGTAGTTGGTAAACACCTAAAATTTAGAAAGGATAGTGGTCTGTATTATATGTTTACAATCATTATTTTTACAAAAATATAAGTAATTATAAGTAGTCTTAATCAGAAAGGTGAGGCAACTACGGTTAAAGAGAGTAATTGGTACATTGGTATTCTTCATTACTTTTCTAAACTATCTCAGAGAAGCATATAGATGCAACAGGAACAAGCTTTCAAGCTTCATGCTGAATTTACTTCAGTTTTCCATGTGACAAATAAGATCCAGCAAAAGAGTATTTTTTAACAAGAATGCTTCAAGAAACATAAGGCAAGTCTGCTACCCCACTGAGCACTGTGCTTTCTGATTTTGAAAGCTGTTTGTTATGCTTTGAAAACAGGCACTGGTAAAGGCAGAATTAACTCCTCTGCTGTCAAAAGACAAAAGTGGTGCAACTAGCACTGAGAAAAAATTTGCTGAGTTTTCCTCAGTGATTTACCATAAAACCATCATCCTTCCACTTGGAAAAAGAATGTGCAAAATAAACAACCTGGCTTGGATTTTTTTTTCCCGGTAATTAAAAAATCCGGTTTTTTTAAAAACCCCCTAATTAAAAAAACCTGTGATCAGATATTCCAGGTCTTGTTGTCATTAGGGAAAGAAAAGAATACATTAATTGTAGGCAGTTGCAGCAGGAAACATGAAGTAATAGAACCTAATTACTCAGGAGGAATTCAACCAGCTCAGTGGTTATGAAAAATACTATGGAGTTTTTTAATAAACAGTTGAAGCAGATTGGTGCTTTAAACTCTTTTTGATGAGATGTTCCCTTAAATAAAATTATACCATCCCCAGTACCAGTCTAGCTGAAAAGATTGCTACCTGTAACTAACCACCAAGTTTTAAAAAGTCATAAACAGGCATTGGTGCTGAAAGAGCTCTCCCCAAATTCCTGCTTATTGCTTCCCACACAGTGTCCCTGACTTTATCTCCTGTAGCCATAATGTTTGTACAGCTGCATAATGAGCTCATTGGCAGAAATGATCCTACTCACTGGAACCTCACCCCTCCCTTGTCCACCCCAGTGTATTGATTTTGGGTTAGTCACCTAACCTGAATCAGCACACACCTTATATCACCATGAAGGGTAAGATGAGGTTCAGGGAAACGAAAAATGGCATTTTACAGATATAATGCTGGTTTAAAATGTGCTTTATGAAGTAATTGAAAACAGATAGAATGATTCACAGAGCAAAGGACTGCTGCAGCACTCCAGTCCAACCTCACACTCACACGGTTAATTTCCACATTAGGTGAAGCTGAACAGAGTGTTTTTGTAAAGTTTTGAACCAAAACTTTATTTTGTGTGATTTTGTTGAGTTGGTTGGTTTACCTTGCTTTTTATTTTCCTTTTATTCAGTTAGAATTTCCTTTATTTCAGCTTGTGAATGTTATCTATTTCCTATTTCTGACTGCTGAGCTCTGAGAAGAGTCTGGCTTCTTCTTCTTCATACTAACAAGCACCCTGTGGAAGGGAAGAATCCTTTCCTATGACCTGCTCCCTGCACAGTTAATTTTACAGTCCAGTATGCAAGTAATAATGTTCACAAAGATATTTTCTAAATTAATATTGTTTCAAGAAAAATTGTTGTTTTCATTGTACAAATGACCTCCTTGGGAAAAAATCTGATTTGAAGAGTGTTTTAATCTCTGTTTGGAGCAGAACAGAGTGGACACTGCACATTTTGCTATGAGACCATGAAAAAAAAAATCTATTGCTTTGTGGGAAAAAAACATTGCCTCCAATGCTAGGACTTTCAGTAGTTTTAAAATTGCTTTGGGCACCAATTACATTTTTTCAGTTTTGCTCATTTTAAAGAAGTCTAAATAATATTGAATCTGTTTTGTGGTCCTTGCATTATTTCCCAACTGTTTGAAAACAAAAATCCCTTTTTATAGCACGTCTATTTTACTGTAAACAACAAAGAAAAGCTGCCTTAGGAAAAGAGCTTTAAATATAGCTGTGATGCTATCAACAAGTTAGCACTTCTGCATGAAAGCAAGTCCAGTCCATTCCAGAGTTTTGCTGCAGGAGATAGAAGTCAGTAGTGCCATAGCATACTACATAGCTGAGTTCTTCATCGCTCCTTTTTTGCTGGAGGGAGCTGGAGAGCTCAGATGCATTGGATACATCTTTCTGTCTGATAATGTATAGCTGGGCATGCTCTATTTAAGTTGAAGATTGGTTGTGAATCCCAAAGTTTTATAATGCTGGGAACGAGTGTTCATGAAGTGTGCTGAACAAACTGAATACAGAGTTTATCTAAAGACAGCTAGGCAGTTCTAAGAAGTGAGCATGTTGGCTTGTCCCTTTGGCCCAATTGCTAGGCAAAAATCAAAAGAAGGAATGTAACAGCCTGAGAACACCTCACAGCTCAAGGATAATTCAGTCCCTTGCTACTCTTTACTAGAAACATCTAAAGAATGAAATTTATGCTTTTCCTCACTCTAGTTTTGACACACATATGCCAGATTTCCTCACAAGTTGCCCACTCCCCAATCATTCAAAGTCTGTGCTTCCAAACAGGCCCATGGTGTGAACATTAAAATTATTATATGCCCTCTGACAAGTTCCCACATCACCTTTGTCTCTTATTCTCCAATTTCATCTTTGTTCCTCTAGAAGTTCCCAGAGTTTGTTTATTTCCACTGTCCCAGCTGGTGAAGGATCCTTTTCTTCCTTCCATTAACCAACAGCGAGTTAAAGGTCTAAATACCGGTGGGTTTTGAGCCCTGAAGAAAAATCACTGAAATATTTAAGAGTGAGCTTTACTGAACTGTTGATATTTCCATGCCTCTCCCAAGGCCTAATTCTAAAATTATATGATATATATATATGTAGTTCAAATATGAGATAGATTGAGCTGTCAGTGATGATAAATATTAGGGACACTGTTTAAAAAAGGAGGAAGTTACTGATTCTTTGTGTTGTGTTTTAATATGATCTACTTGTGTTTTCTGTTGTGATTTTTCCCTCGAGATTATAACAGGTTTTAACTCTGTCTGCTATGATTCTTGGTGAACTACAGTGAAGTGAGCAGGGACAGACCCACTATCTCCACAGAGGAAAAGCATTCAGAGAAGAGCACATCTGATCTCTTTAGGCACCCAGAGCTTCTTGCCAGGCTTGTCACAGACCAACAAGAGAAACTGCTGTCTGCTAATGTCTTTTGTGCGTGAAACACTTTCAGCAAATACAACCAGCTCCTCTGAGAGACAAAAAAAAAACCCCAAAAAACAGGAGAAAATCAGTAACTGTAGATCTACAGAACTCAAGATACAGTAAATCAGGAATGTTCCTACTTCTTTATAATGAGTTTTATGTCAATAAATGAATCTGTGGAAGATTTCTACATGCTCTCTATCATCTTATAGTTCTAGATTATTTTTTTTTGTTTTTTACATTTTCCATTGAGATTTGAAAGGTGGAAAAAAGAGAGAACTAGTGTGGGGTTTTCCTCAAGAGGAAACAAAAGAGAAGCTTATTTCATTGCTAAATTGATCACTAATCCTGGCAAAATTTATTTTGCCGTGTTAAAAACCAACCAACCAGTCAACCAACCAAAACAAACAAACCACCCCCCAAACAATCAATAAAATAAACAAACAAACATGCACAACAACAGCAACAAAAAAACCCCAGCCCCATCAGACTGGTTAGAAACAGTGAATTCTGAGAACTGAAAATAATAAATTATATAAATGCAATTGAAATAGAGTTAGTACTTAGTATCTACAAATGCACAAAATTGGTAGATTTTTGACCTGCTTCAGTGTTCATCCTGCTCATCTATAACAATTATATGTCTATGATTTCAAAATGGTTATGTTGTATCTGAGTAAACTGTGAGCTCAAAATTTCTCCCCTATCCTATTTTTCATGCCCTAATTAGAGCCTTTTCTAACAAACAATAATAATAAAAAAACAACTTTACACCATCTTGTGCTTCTTGGTAGTTCAAGATAATTATGGAACTTAACACTCCAAATGGCAATTGCACTCCATGTTGAGCACAGCAGTCATTTTAGAACTTCAGACTAAATCAAATTAGCATTTTTGTCAAAAAAAGTTAAATATGCTTAAAAGTTACTTCCTGATGCATTACGAGTAATGTTTTACAGTGACTGTCTGTCACCTAACATCTGTTGGACATTGGGTAAGCCTGCTGCTAGGATTCATCTGTCTTTATCTAAGGGATTGCTCTTCTAGAATGCAGTTGGTCTTACATGCAAATAGATCTCTAAAATAGGTCAGATCAATTGTACCTTCAGAATGGTTATTTCATTCCACTGATTATAAATTTTTTATTTAAGTAGCTGATCCTCTCATAAATCCCATGATGAAATTTCTCATTGAATTACCTATTTTGGAGATCCAAGCAGTAAAAAGATATTGAATTAAGTTTTTTATATAGAGTAGACAAAACTCTAAGTTTTTAATTAGGTAATTAACATAGAGACAGAATGAGTAAGAGACTGAAATAAAACTTTTTTTTATTCAGCAAAATCCCCAAACTACTTAAGCAGGTCCTGCTTGCAAAATCTTAAAGATCAGATCATAATATTCCTTATCCTTTATTTAAGATTCAAAAGAAATTTCCAGTGAACTCACTAATCATCAAATTATTGCAAATATTTATAATAAAGAAGACCATTAAACTAGTAAAACATGTAAAAGTCAATAGTAAAACTGAATATTAATAGGATATCAGAGCCACTATACAACACAGGTCTTATCTTTTTTTTTCCATTGCAGATAAAAACAGTGATGTTTATTCTCCAGAAAATAAAAGCTAATGAAACAAAAGCAGTATTTTAAATAATGTAGAACCCCATAGACACAGATGAAGCATTTCATTCAGGACACAGATGAAGCATTTCATTCAGAACAAAGGTTTGTTTTTAATTTCCAAAGAGGTATGTAAAAAGACTATTAAGTCATAATATATGCGTGTCCATATGTATGCATATATCTATGTGAGATTCAATAACTTATATATGTGTACAAATATGTATATATGCATGCACACATCTTGTCAGGACTTAAAGAATACAGTGAAATACCTCAAGACATTGTCAGGGAAGAAAGTTCTTATAAAATAAAGCACCACAAGATGTAGAGGAGGCAAGAACGAAGCCACTAATTCCAGGCCTAAACTGAGGTGAAAGTTTGGAATTAGCACACTAGATGAAACCCCACTGTGATGTGGGACCTTGCAATAAGTGCAGAGGGCAACCCTAGGAAGATGCCAGGCTGAGGCAGATCTGGATAACCTATCTAGACAAAAATTCCCACCATGGCAAACCATGAGAAAGGAAGCAAGTCCTTATACACATACCAGCCCAAGCTGTGGGAACAGCATCTACATTCTGTGGATGCCTGGGAATTAGATTGCATAAAAGTGATTCCTCCAGAAGAACACTCTAAGGACCCCCACCAGCAAGAAGACCAGAGGAGGAAGGGCAGGAAGAATGCCACAGCGATCCATGTGGTGATGACTACATTTCTACTTAATCCTTCTCTCTTCTCTCTCTGCCCTCCCTACCACACATACACTCCTCAATAAAATTCATACTCCTGATATTGGCGTATGGTGTCATTTGCACCTTAATTTGGGCAGAAGCATCTTTTGATAATCAGGTTCTAACACATGTATGAATATATGTTCATTTGTTCAAAAGTAAGCATATACATCATTGAAGTAGACTAAATCCTAGGAATCTACCTTGCCTCAGCACAAAGTATTTGCTTGCTGAATGAAGTCTAAATCAAGTCAAAATATCTGGACTCAAATTTAAGTTTATGAAGTTAGAGTTATGTAAGTTAATTTCAAATTGCTGATACCAGCTTTGATCCTAGTATTTAGCATTATATAAATTTTCTGCTTATAATTGTTCCTAGATTTGACCTTCCCTTTCACAACTTACTGCAAAAAAAAAAAAAAAAAAAAACCAAAAAAACAAAGGAAATAAAGACACACACACACAAAAAATGCCACTAGCGTCAGTACAGAAACCAACTAGAGAAGCAAAAAAATTACATAGTTTGGATATTTCTCTGGAGACAAGACAGGTTATCTGATTTCCTAAAAGTTTGTGTCAAAATGTATTTCTTACATTTATGTAAGCAACTTTCTGAAATACAGTTCTGCTTATTTAATGTAAACAAATAAAGTAAATCAGCCCTGTGATAACCTGGGGAGTTAAAGATCACCTATAGAGCAGGACAAAAACATTCCTACTCTAACTGATAGAGTAAAAGCTGTTGAGTGTTAGTTCAGGTTTGCTCAGAGGACAGATTTCCCACCTTCAGTTTACAGAACTTTAGTTGCTCAGTCATCTAATGCTTCAAATTTTTCTGCATTCTCTAGCACCACTCCTGTATTTTTCACATACTGGAAAGTTTCTCATTGTGTGATCCCTCTTCTCATGCCGATATCAAGCTGCTAAATTTCAGTGAAGTACACCCCAATCTAAACTGTTAAACATTATTCATCCAGGCCACTACGTCTATTTGGCTGTGTATGTCATCTGTGTGTGTCATGACCATGTATAAATATTATATAATTCATACAGAAGGGAAGCAATGTTTCCTGTGCAATGCAATGAAATATATTAATTTATTTCAAAATTTATTGCAGAACTCAAATGGGACAATACTGAATTGCAACAGTAAAACTTCCTTTAACTCACTGAAGGCAGTCTCTTCTGTCACAAGCATCACTTGAATTCTAAATCTTGTCTGGATAAGTGAGGGGAGAGCAATGGAATGTTGTTTACCAGACTTCAGTAAGGCTTTTGGTGCTATCTCCCATGATATCCTCATAGACAAAGTCATTAAGTGAAGGTTGGACAAGTGGATGGTGAGATGGATGGAGAACTGGCTGAGCAGCAGAGCTCAGGGGGTTTGATCAGTGGCACAGAGACCTGGATGAAAACTTGAAACAAGTGATATCCTACAAGGGTTTTGATACTGGGTCCAATCTTGTTCAACTGATAACTTAGATGAAGGGGTAGATACTTCCCAGCAAGTTTGCTGATGACACAGGGCTGGGAGGAGAGGCCAATACCTCATTGGGCTGTGCAGCCCTTCAGATGGACCTCAGGAGCCTGGGGTCAACAGTCTGGAGAGTTGGGTAGAGAAGAATCTTCTGGAATTCAACTCAGGAAAATGCAGGATCCTTCACCTGGGGAGGAGCACAGATTATACCTGCTGGAAGGCAGCTCTATAGAGAGGGACCTGGGAGTCCTGCTGGACAATTGGCCCTGCATGTGTGCCCTTGTGCCAAGAAGGCCAATGGAAGAGCATTGCCAGCAGGCTGAGGGAGGTGATCCTGCCCATCTACTCAGCCCTTGTGAGGCCACAAATGCTGTCCTGTGTCTAGTTCCCCCACTACAAGAGGGACATGAGATCCTGGAGCAGGTCCATCAAAGGGCTATAAGATTTTTTTCCTATCATGAGAAAAAGCTGTGAGAGTTGGGCCTATCCAGTTTTGAGAAGAGATGACTGAAAGAAGACATAGCCAATGTCTATCAGTATCTGAAGGGATGGTGCCAGGAGGATGGACTGAGCTCTGTCCAGTGGTGCCGAGCAATAGGACAGGAGCAACGGGCAGAAACTCATGCACAGCAAGTTCCACCTGAACATGAGGAAGTACTTCTTTATTTTGTGGGTGACCAAGCAATGGAACAGATTGCCCAGAGAGAGTGTGGAGTGTCCTTCACTGGAGATATTTAAAGGCCATCAGAACAGATGGAAGGACAGAATGCGGAATGTGTGTTATCTAAAGTTTCCAGACAGAAACATTGTCTTTCCACTTATGCTGATTTCAAAATGAAGCAGAAAACTTGAAGTTCATCTGCCAACCATCAAAGGTAACTTGGTACCATAAAACAACTGTTTATACAAGGCTTAAAGCACTTCAGTCAGTTGAGAAGGTATTGGAAATCACATTTTGTCATTACAAGGGACTGCATTATAAAGATCAGGTTATCAATTCACATGATTCATTAGGAAACTAAGGAAGATGACAATTTTATTCATCCCTTCCTAAATTTTGTTTGGATTGTTTTAACCAAAAAACTAAAACTAAATCAAAACTTGTAATTTCTTTACGAAACCTGATCAGATAATTTTTGGACCTTTTTAAGAAAAAATGTGCTATTGTGTAATTTGTAGTATTAACATAAAAATAATAATGTAGATAAATTCAAAAATACATCCAAAAAATTGCTTTTTTTTTTTTTTTTTTTTTTTTTTTTTTTTTTTTTTTTTTCTTTGTCATTATAACAGATTTATTATTTTTATGACACAGGTTTGACACAAAATTATAGCAGAAATTGGAATAATTATTACCTTTGGCCAGTGCTTTAAATATGTATCCATATATTCAGTTTGTCCCAGAGAGGGNTTTTTTTTTTTTTTTTTTTTTTTTTTTTTTACTTTCATCTGTGATCATAACAGACATAGTATCCCCAAGAAAGAACTTTCTCTCAAAATTATAGCAGAAATTGGAATAATTATTACCTTTGGCCAGTGCTTTAAATATGTATCCATATATTCAGTTTGTCCCAGAGAGGGCCAGAGAAAAAAGGATGTGTTTGTAGTTTGTGTGGGTGTTCTTTCTCTCAGGATTTGCATCCCTTCCTATTATATCCATTTTTTGAGCTGTCTTCAGTTTAGAATATTTAGCCAGTGGCAGAAAATTATACTTGAAACAAATTAGTCAGCTTTGTTCAACAAGAAAACAGCAATATTTAATTTTGGAATTTTATTCAGAACAACTAACCTGAGGGCAGTAGATGCTGCCAATAAAGAGGGAACAGATTTGTCATATTATAGTTGGATGTAGCTGTGATATCGGAATGTTTTTTCCTTAGAATCTAAGAAGGCAAATATCCAAACTAATGAGACATTTATGGAATGTTTATGGCCTCTTAACCTTTTCTCTTTGATAGATCTATACTTGCATATAAGAAGGTAGATTCAAGACAATTTCAAGAGTCTGGATAAAAAAAAAACAGTGTACAATGACACATTAGTTGATGGATTTTTTTTGGAGAATGAAAAAGGTTGTTAGAAAAATTGGCTTTGCTTCACTCATACTGCCTTTCTGTTTGCTGTTGGAAAACAGTATACTTTGCCAATGTCTCCACTATTGAAGACAAATTGTAAAAATCTGTTTCTCATGCTGCAGGATTTTTCCAAGTATACCCATTTTCTGAAGGTAAGGTGATTGTCTTCAATATATCATTTTATTTCTATAATTTTGTAGTAGCTCCTTTAATCTGTGAAAAAACATCTAGATAAGGTGTGGTTGCTAGGAGAGGTGAAGAGCACCTCCTAGGATCTGCTTCCTCAATTCTGTTTAACTATTGCTGTGAAAGCTCTTTTTGTATCCAAAATGTTCACCAACAGGAGAGAAAAAAAATCTCATGTTATTTTTCTTTTATTCTTTTTCTAACACTGTCAAGATTCCTTTCTTTGGAAATGGCAGCTTTCATGTATAGATTTATCATGGGCTTTAAAAACTTATTGTTACACTGATAGTTTCTGAATCATAACAATCTGCATTACAATTTTACAGGAATTTAGATAACTTTGCTTTGTGGATGTGTTTGAAAGGGATACACCAAGTAGGAAGGAAGATACTCAATGTAGATATTCTGTAGGCTTCACTTTTTCAAACATAAAAATTATGGGGAAAATGTGCCTTTATAAAGTCAAGAGACTTGCATACTGTTTTAAAATATAAATGAAACCAAAAATAGTCTTAAAACCAACAGATAAAGAATGAGATAATGTGTCTTTTTTGTTATTCTCACAAATGTCCAGAGACAGGTTGGAAAGATCCCCTTTTCTCTCTTTTACTTGCCAAGAAAAAGGAACTTTTCAGATGATCAGACTAGTCAGAAGGGCATAGCTGATAGAAAAGGCAAATAATTGCATTCAGATCAGTAGGAATCCAATTCCTTCAAGAATATAACAGAGTGTTCCATGAATATGAATGTGTTTCTAAAAACCTAAACACTCAGCCAGGCACAGCGAAGGCAATCAGGAGGATGGTGAATAATGCTAGAGATATTGGACAAACAGCAGGAGGAAAAAGCAAGAATCCAAAGCATACTCAGCAGGCATTGATGCAAGTTACACATGGGACTAATAAATCACCCAAACTGACTAATTATGGTAGGCAGAATGCTAGCAGGCTTCTGAAAAGAATGTGGACTTTTAGGTACTACAGCAGTGTGAAACAGGAAGGCAGGTATATGTATCAGATGTCTGACCCAGCTGATCTCCAGAAGATTTGTGCATTTTCTAAGGCATGCAAATTCAGTCTTGGTGTTATCACATCACAATCAGTCAGAGTGCAAAGCCAATATGGCAGACAAAAAAATAAAATCTAAAGAAATATTAAAAAATAAGTTATAACAGAAAGAAAGAATACCAAAGGGTGTTTTCAGAAAATAAAGACTTCTGCAATGGATGGCATTGACACACATAATTTGGGAGCACTAATCTCATCTGATATGACCCACTTAAAGATTATATAAGGAAGCTAAAATAAATGCTTTAAATTTTCATTATAATCTTTTGGCTCCTAACTCAAGGAAAAGGACTGTCTCATCTGGAATGGCAGACTTGATTAGAAATTTGTGGGATACCCAGAATTTTCTGGAACAGCAACTGGATTGAGGCAGAAAAATAGAGTATTTCAAAGCAGAATACACCTATGCTTGAAGACCCTGAATCCCTCTGCAGATAAGAATAAAGTTTATTTATCCTTTATTGCATCAACTTCTACAGACAGAGTACATTACTTTGAGCCACTACATTTGTCTAGTCTGTCCATTTGATTCCCTCCCAGTCATAGCCTAGTAACATTAGAATAAATAATGCACAAAAGGCAAGACCAACATATAATAGACTAAAATAATTACAAATCCCTTTGCAGACAAACTGCTAGGAATTCTTTATGAGAAATATACACATCAAAACTTTCCCTTAACAGAAAAGCCATTATTCACATACTGCAGCAGTGGATAACATTTCATTAGAGCTGCAAGCCTGTAAGACTACTATCATAGGATGCAATAATGAACATTGTGGAAAGCATATTAATCTGAAAATAAAGTGGGGACAAAGCAGGAGTTTCTAGTTATAGATATGAAAGCAAACTTTCTACCACAAGACTTGGACATATACAGGCATTGTCAACATAGGAAAAATTTATATTCATTCTAATGCACTTATTTTTAAAGCCTTCTCTCTTGGAACACAATTTGCAGTCCAGTAATTTTGAGGACTCTCACATGCTAAAATGTAGATCAGCTGAAGTTTAATTTTAGCTTGCCTTGTGATCCCACCTGCACTTAAACAGCATTCCAAAGTAACAGTTTGAATATCAGTCCAAAAAAAGGAGTTATGTTCAAGAATATGAAAGGGTAAACAAAAAACTCTTTTCTGAATCCCCAGCATAATAGTTTAATTTCTAAGTAAGTTATAAATTATTCTAAAAAAATAAGAATATTAAGACATTAAGGAGCTACAAAGGACTGTCTAGTATAGAAACAGGTTGTGGCAATCTTGGTTTTGGTTTTTTTAAATTTTCAAATAAATACAGCGGAAGTGAAATTCTAATACAGACTTCTTCCATAGGAACGGATGTGTTATCATTTCTAGGCAAGCTTAGAATAATTAGTTACAGGAAATGCTTGTTAAAATATGTTATATTTCTGAATGGATACTCTTGGATTTGGATTCTTATTTCTGTCCTTGAGTATTAATTTCAGCAAGCAACTGGACTAGAACATAGGAAAAAACATATCACTGTTAAAGATAATCAATCAGCAGAACAGAGTAACAAAGCTGGAAATCTCTATCAACACTAAGAATTTTTTGGTGCAAGCTGAAAAAAGCCTTTTAGGAACAATATTGTGCTTTGAATCATTGGAATGACCTTTTGAAGACTTAACTACTACTTATCATTGCTACTACTGAATAGTCTATATGTATTTGAGTACTGAGTATTATTGACTTTAGATCAGATCTATTTTACTTAAATTTTTCCCTTAGAGGATGCACAAAATTCCAGATCCTAATCATACTGTAAATGGAAGACATCACCTGAATTTTCCAACAAGTTTTACTTGTTAAGTCCTAGTTTCAGTTTCATGACAGAGGGGAAACCATTTAGGATTTAGCAATTCACCTTCTATTATATTAATGCCTCAACCTGACTTTTACTGACCCCAAATGAACATTAATCATGGAAAGTGACTATATTTCTATTTTAAATGTCTCTCTAGATGAAGTAGCACTTCTTCAGACATGGCTCAGGTTCAGTTAATCACACTCCAGCACCTTCACCTTTACCTTCACTCCATTTTGTTGGGGGTATCCCTCTGCTTGTTTTCCAGTATTCACAGTCTTCATTATTAACTGGTTATTTATACTAAATGTGCCAGGTAGTATTAAATCAGATTTGCTTCATAAACACATCTTATTAAAAGAGATAAGTTCTGTAATTCTGCTATTTTTTTTTTAATTCTGAAATTGAACCATATATGTTTATCAGATTTTTGATGGAATTTCTAGCATACTGATTCCAAGTCCAAATACTCTGAGCTCATTGCAACTTCAAGAAGTCACCAGAAGAAGCTCTCTGAAAGTTCCAAGAAGCTGTATGTTAACAGAAATGTATTTAAGAGGTAGGTCAATAAAAGTGATTAATAATATTAAGCAAACAAATTCACTTTCCAGGCAATTACTGAAGTATCACTTCAAAGGTATGAAATTTTGTTTTTCAGAATAAACACTTGTGCCTTTCAGATTTTTTGTTTTTTCATTTGTCTTCTTAGTAATTAAAAAAAAAAGTTAGACATATTCCATGGGAAAACCAGATTTTTTTAAAAATAAAACTTTAAAAAATAATTTTTTTTAGAATTATCTTGGGCCATAATTTAAGGGCTAATAGCCTTTTAGTCGAAGTTCATACAGAATTCAGAACTGCAAAAACTATAAACCAGCTACTAGTTAAGCACAATCTCCCTGTATTTTTTTACTTTTCTTTTGATGAGTCTTTACAGTGACAGTTCAGGAATAGGCTGATTTGTAACACTGTAAATCAATGTTGTTTGTCATGTGGATACAAGAACACAGAACTTGTCCTTCTTTTCCCATATTTTTTATCTCTGGCTGTAAACTATTTTCTTATTTAAATTCTTTCTGCTTCTTTTTAGGAAAACCAGCTGAATTATACCAGCAAATACCTCAAGAAAGCAGAACTAATTGCTCCAATTATTACTGGAGAGCCAGGTGGGAAATTAGAATGCGGGGCCAATTTGGGATAGATAAAAAATATTTCTCAGAGTTCAGAAAGGAAGCTGATAATACTTAGGATTATAAGACTGCTGTTGTTTATCTTGACTCAGTTTTTAAAATGTGGGTTTTGGGCATTAATAGTAAGGCTGTTCCTAGCTTAAGGGAACATGTATAAAATATAGACTTCTTTTTAAAAGATGAGAAAGGATAAGGAATACTGTCAGTGCATAGGCCTGACTCATTCCTTAAGGATCCTTTGTGACAGAAAAGTATATCTGATATTTTAAATTCTTAAAATCAGCATATGACAGGCTATCTGCAAGTGCTTTCAGTACTTTTTTTTTTGCTCTGTAATGTAGCAGCTGCTCATGTGAGAAATTATCCTTGCTGGTATTTTCTGCTTTAAATTTTGTTGGCATTGATTAAAATTGTGCTGTCGAGTAGTAGATGGCAGACCCTTGCTAGAAGGTAATGGCAGAAAGCAAGGTTCTGGTTTATATTAAAGACATTTTAAAAAAGGTCAGGTTGAATTTTAGCCTTTTTATTTATAGGGACAGTAGAGAAGTTTGGCAATTCTTCTTTCAATTAGATACTTTCCTGGGAAAGGATCACATTTTAATCAGTAATATTTTATTTCACAAAAAAACCCTTTCTACCTGTAATTCAGGACAGCAATAGGACTATAAAAGTAGGTGTTACAGACACTAAGAATGGGTTTTTAAAAAGAGATTAACATGTTTATATTGCACTTGAGGAAAGACAATGAGAATGTGCAGCAATTTCTTTTGCTATGTACATGACATGAACGCAAAACTAAAAATGCAATTCAGCTACTGTTCAAGTCAGTGGCAATCTGACTGGTGGTGAAATGTTGGTAACATTTCAGATTGTCTGTATTTCTCTTTATATCCATGGATCAATATCCTTTAGAATCAAGTCAATAATCTCATAGTCAGTAAAAGACTGTTGATTAAAAAAAAAAAATACTTAGAATTCCAGATTTTTTCTAGGTTCTCATAAATTTTGGTATATGTTAGGATTAAATGTACAAAAATCCAGAATTATTTGAGTTATTGGGAAGGCAGCAAACCTCAAAGATAGTATTTAACCTAAATAGATGATGCTTCCTGTGGTTTTGAGATACCAATCTAAAAAGGCCTTAAAAAGAATTGATTTAAGCCTTGGTCCAGAAACATAGAACTGTTCTCCACCATGGTGAAAGTGACTGCTTATGACTTGGTTATCTTATCTAGATAGTGTTGTTTATACTGCTAGGAGTCAGGAATCATGTTACAGAAGATGAAAATTTTCAGTTTAGTTCAATTTAATTAAATTTAAGAAAAATAAATATGTACTAGCTTTCAATCTGCAGGTAAATTGAAGACTACTCCAGCATGTGAATTCATAGTTCCTCTGTCTATTCGGTCACTTCCTGACATAAATATAGAAATGAACTATTTTATGCTATGTAATGATACTTGCAATTTTCCTTGGAAATAAGAGTTCTCAGATTCTTCCTACTCAATACCATACATGTGACATTCTGATGTTGCTTCACTAGCTGAAACAATCCAAATGTAAGAAACTAAAAAGAAAGTGGAATGTTCCTGGTACATAATTTCTACCTATGTATTAAAAACAAAACACTGGATGAAGTGTGTGAAATGTGGGATGCTCCTAATGAAAGCTGCAGAAGAAATCACTGCTAAAGGATGGAAATGTTTTTAATTTTGTAATTGTCAAACACCTGAGTTGACAGCAGTTCCCAGAATATCACTCAAACTGTGCAGGCATATGTGAAGTTTGTGTGTTGAGCCCTTCAAAAACCTTTGTCAGCTCTTTCATACCAAAGAGTCATAGAATGTTTTGGGTTGGAAGGGATCTTTAAAGATGTGCTTTCAACCCCACCCCATAACAGGGACACCTTCCACTCAGCCAGGTTGCTCAAACTCTCAGTGTTCAACCTGTCCTTGAACACTTCCAGGGTTAGGGCATCCATCACTTCTCTTGGAAACCTGATCCAGTGTCTCATATATTCAATCTAAATCTACTCTCAGTTGAAAACCATTGTCACTGTAGGGCCTGGTAAAAAGTTTTTTCCTTTTTTTAAGTCCCCTTTTTCTATTTCAAGGCTATAAAAACATCTCCTCAGAGTCTTCTTTTCTCCAGGCTGGACAGTCCCAACTCTCTCAGCCTGTCTTCATAGGAAAGGTGCCCTGCCTCTGATCATTATAATGTAAGAAATTTTCTCACCTGCAGTAAAACCCCCTATTTTTAGCCTGGACAAATGACACATCAAAGTATAGATTTATGCATATAGAAAAGCATTTACAAATCTCAGTAACTGTATCATAATTATCTGTTAATAACTTTCTTCATCTGCCTTTTCTATTCTAACTTTCTGCTTGAAAGTCCAATATTAGGGCATTTTTTCTCTGAACATCCTCATAAGGATTAATCTTAGACTTCTGATATTTCAACCTGTGGATTTAAAAGAAATCAAAATGCTAGTTTTTAAGATGTGAGATGCAGCAAGCCCTCAGCCTGTTCTTGGTCATAGTATAATGAGTCCTGTGGTTTAAAGAGTGTAAATTTAGCCTAATTTAAGACCAAGTGAAAGTGAATTATTTTTTCAGAATTTTAATTACTTTGAAGAACACAGCATTTGTTAGCTGTGCTTATTCTGTCAGTTTGTTTCATGCCTTGTTTTACTCAAGAGAGTTAATCCACTTATTACTCCTGGGTGCTCCTCTTCAGGAGAAAGAGTGTGAAACAGTTTGCAAGACAATTTGCTCCAGAGTCTATTCTGTGCAGAAAGGATGGATGAAAATTTCACTAGGATGGTTCAAAGGGCTATAAAGGAACATTTACAAGTCAAATTATTCCCAGTCAGAGGGTCATGCAGCTTTCCAAAATCTTATTAGAATGACTCCCTAGCATGTTTCAAGGTTTCTGTGGTATTTCAACAATTTTTGTCATAAATAAAGATTAGACTGCCTAAATTATTGAAATACAGAGATAAGAAATCAAACCATTAAAACTGAATATCTTAGTTTATAATTTTGGCTGATGAACCACAAAGCTCAAAAATTTAGAAAAAAAAGGGTGTTTTTTATCTTAAATTACTCTGAATTTGACTTTGGTATTCAGAACATGGACTGGAGGGCAAAAAAAAAAAAAAAAAAAAGAGGGGTAAAATAACCCCACTGTCTTGGAAGATGTGGGTGAGGTGCTACACTGCTCCTATAGAAAAATTACAATTTTGTGACTGAAAAACCTCACAACAATAAGGCCAGCCACAGAGGATGACAGAAGCACTGTAAGTACTCATTCACTCAAAAACCCCTTGACATACTCCTAAAAGAGTCTTTGCTTGAGATGACCCTCAGTGGTTGAGGATTGAGGAATGATTGAGGAGTGATATTTTGAATGCATCCATAATCTTCAAAAGGAGAAGATGCAACATTTCCATTACAATGCTCTTTATATCTATATATCTCTCTTCTACTAGAAACAGTGGCATCTTGGGATTACCTAGCAAATTCACACTTTTAAAATGTATGGAAATAATTTTTCCCATATTTTTTTTAAATGGATTAATGGTTGGTAGATGGAAAATACCCTCTGCAGCTTATTGGCTGAACAACTTTATAGGACAGATAGACCAATCATGATCTACAACTGAATCAAGATATTAATCATGTGCTTTTAATTGTTAGTTTCTGTCCTTACATTGATGCAATTGTGCTTTTTATAATGTCTGTAATACTCTAACCATGTCATAAGAAATCTTTGAACAAGGTATATTGCACTTTCTGAAATGAATACAGAAGTTGGCTTGCATAACTTAATGGAGATTAGAATATGTATAAGATTTACTGAAGCTTAAGAAGATGAAGTATTTCATCTGCTTAGGGCAGAATGCCCAGAGTAAGATAGCATGCAACAATGTATATAATAAAAATAACTAATACCGTGTCCAAGAACAAAACTCTAATTTTTTCTTTTAATATTATTAAGTAGTACAAAAATACAGAATATGAGAAGATAATATATACAGATAACAAAGATTATCATAGACAGGATCATAGTTATTTATATTGACCATTTGGTTATGCCAGCAAAGTAAATAGTACTGTTTTCCAGTATTTACTTAAAACTATACTGATAGATGTTAACAGCACAAAAACTGCTCCCAACAAGACATTAACACAGGTGGGCAAACAATTACAAAATGAGAATTTTCCCCCTGGAGATTCCACTTATGTAAATGCCTAAATTTTGCTGTCATGAGCTGAACTCAAACCCTATTGCTATGGTTTTGATTCAGCCACCTAGAAAACAATTCTCATTGTTATTTGAGGATCTCACCCTGCTTTCCCTGCAGCTACTGGTCTTAAAGATCCTCTGAATCCCCTGCCACATTTCTCAGGCCTGTGTGAATGACTTGGATGACTAAAACATTTCACATAGCAATAGATCTGCATATTCAATCAATTAAATTTATTCTTCACCATCTTAAAGAGACTAACACAAGACTACTTTTTACAGAAGTTATGACCTAAAAATATCTGAAAATGTGAAAAAAAAGAGAACCAGTATTGAAAAGTTTTAAATGTAACTCTAAGTCGTTATTTGCAAATAAGAATACAAATGGTCAGCTATGGGAGATCTCTACAGTTAATGAAAAGTGGGAATTGATATTTTCTTCCACTTAACTTCAGAGCTCACCTGGTCCACAACACAGGTAAGTGAACTAGAAAATGCATGGTTTTAAGATTTTCATTCTCTTTTACTCATCTATAAAAAGAATGCCACAATTAATCTGTAATACTGAAGTAATTCTGTTAATCTTGAGTTTCTCTACATTTTGAAATACTTTCCCAAAAGATTACATTTACATGCTGAAACTCAAATGCTCTTGAATTGTTTTCCAGATTTTAGTTTAATTTATCCTTTGGCACTGACATTTCCCCTCTTAGTCAGCTAGAAATCAGACACTAAAATCCAGCCCAACTGCACCAGCCTTTCTCAAGGGCAAAAAATCCTAAATAAGAACCAGTCATTTTATCAGACCAGGAGTTGCAACACCTGAGTTCCCAAAGTAGCAGAGGTGAATTGCATTGTAAGTGAAAATTAGAGAATTGCAGCTCTTGAGTAATTTGTAAATTTTGAAGACAAGAAGAAACATAAAATTGGAAAGGTAATTTCAGACCAATGGTATAGACATTTCTTTCAGAATGTTTCAAAGGTGTTTTGGGTATTGTTTGGTTTATTATTTCTTGTATTTGTTTGTGTTTAGGGTTAATTAATAATACCAATAAAAATGAAAATATTTTGTATTTGTAAGCTCTGAAATATAGGATCCAAGACACAACCTAAAGGGCAACTTATGTTGAATAAAATAATGAAAAGCTATTTTTTGTATAATTATAAATCTGTATAAGACTCACCATGGCAAAATAAAAATGAAAAATTATTGACTTCTCATTTTCATCCCACCATTTATCTTTTAAAAACTAGATTTTTAAAAAGTGCTTAAATACACTATTGAAAAATTGAATTTTGATAGGATGATTATCAAAGTATTTGACATTTGATAAAGAAGATTAATAAGTATTTTTTTAATGAGTGCTATGTATAGAAATATTTAGTAAAATGCATATACATGGGTAAGAATTCTTGCTTTGGAAAAGAGAACTTTACAGATCTACCTGTAAATTCTAATTTGATTTCTTCAGCTCTGTGGAATGTTAGACTGCTTTTACCTCAAATATGGAAACAGAAATTATTTTCTCATGAATAGAGATTCTAGAAACCTGAAAAATGTTGGTTTTTTTTTTAATTATTAAACTCAACATCAATTTATCAAGTACATCTATAAATTTCAATTTACTAATTAATTAATGCTCAAAGCCTCATTGAAATGCATCTAAATGAAAAAAGTCATGATAATTAAGTTTTATATTTGAGATCAACATAAACATGCACTTGAAAGAATATACCTCATATGTAAAAGGAAATGGAATTTTCATAACGTGTCATTCGGTACGAAACACTCTCCATTTTCATGCGGTTTTCCATTATTACAATGAAAAAAATAATCATATTCCCCATGAAATTTTGAAAGTTACTCTGTTAGGTGCTTTCCAGCTCCAATATTACAATGTCTTCTTCTTTCTCAGCATCACAATAATACTAAAATAAATTAACTCAGAATTTCCCAATCCAATAAATGCTTCATTATAGTGCATCTGCATTAAATGCAGCAGTCAAGTCTGCTCAGCTAATATTTTTATTTAAAATTAATGTTTTATGTAAACACTAATATTAATAATTGATTTATGAAGTAAATATTCTGAAATATTATAACTATAGAGCCTGAAAGGCATTAAATATATTCTTCAAATTCACTGAGTATTGAGTCAGCTCCATACTTTGTATGTTTTATTTGAAAAGCAATGAACATCAGAAGACAGATATTTTATATTATTCATTGTAATCTAAGTATTGAATTACTTTAAATATAAAGGTAGGACACCATTCTCATTTACACTGAAGACTCATTACATTGGTGTTCTTGTGTAAAAGGCCCCTAGACAAAATGAAGGTCAGGATTTTAATCTACAATACTAAGAGAACATAGACTAATTTTTCATAGCATGACAAGTCAAAGAAATAGGCACATCCTTCCTACAAACATGGAGTACCAGTGTATAGCTGTTTGTATTTCTTTTTACCTTCTGAATCGGTCACTCCTACTCCCGACTGCTTTACGGGTTCTTGTCCATTCTGGCTCATCTTCCCTCTGTTAAAAGATATGGGGTTGTTGTCAATAAAACCATATAAAAATAAGAGCTAAAACAATGACACACCTAAGCAAATGAGGCTGGTTCTTTTAAGAATATTATCTTTTTCCTCTTTTGAAGGCAGCTGCAATCACATCTTGCTAAGCCTTTACATTCTTACAGAATGGGTCCATCAGGTACCTGCCCCACATCAGTCTGGGGCTGCATATCTTCTTTCCTCACTTTATCTTGTTATAGTCAACAGTGAAATATATAATAAGCAGTCATAAAAATTGATATTTGGTCTACCATACCATTACTTCAAAGGTAAGGCATACTCATGGTTGTTATCTTCTTAAATTATTGCTTTACTTTACAAGTTAGATTTAGCATAAGAAACAATTCTGAAAACTTAACATTAATCTTAAAGTGAGTGGAATAAACCATGCCCTAGAGTTCACTATTTTCCTGCATTTTATGTAGAAAGAACCTGCATCAGAACCTTCATGTCTATTTTTACACAATGAAAGTTAGGTAAAATATGAGCTATCTTTAAATATACTTGTTGCAAGCTCTAAGGCATGATTAAAATCACTCTCAAACATTTTTGCTTCTAGTTTTCTTTTTGCCTTATGACTCTGACTGCTATGATAGAGACTACAAGGCATTATCTCTAGTTGCATGTGATTCCTTGGGGCTTAAAGGGTCACCACTGTTCTTTTCTACCTGTGAGTATAAAAGTATCTACCTGTGAGATGAAAACTTCATGTTTGAAGATGTCTAAATTCACAGGGAACTAAAAAATTCATATAAAATCACAGTTTTCCAAGTGAATTTATATTCAGTTTTAACTGAAAGCTATTATCTTCTTCTATTGTAGGTAATGCTTCATAAATCATTACAAATATGATGCAAGAATTATTTGTCCCAAGGGTTATATTCACTATACATCATTCAATACATACATCATTCAATTATTTTCCACTTTTGGATTCTAAATGAATTTTATTTTACACCAATGTAGTGCTACAAAGGGTTGCAAAACACAAAGGCATAGAGAATCTGGTCTTTATCAGAGATAAGAACATGAGTAGCTTTCAGGACTATTACAACTGGATAATAGTGTTTAAAAAAATCCAAATTAGAAAGACTTTAAAAGATATATTCAAATTCATGTAACTGTATATAATTATTAATTTCCCTTGATAGTTAGAGCTACTTAATATTGGCAAGTATTCTAATTAGTTACCTCATCAAGCAATTCCCATGGTGGCCCTATTTAATTATTTTATTTTGCTTCAAGACTAATTGTTGCTATGGTTAAAAGCACTTGGACTAAAACAAAGAGTTTAAAACTCAGCATATCCAATAATTTCTATTGATACACTAGAAACTTAGTCTAAGCAGAGAGCTTATAACCAAAAAAAGATTTTAAATGGCAAGATACTTAAAAATATTTAGCCTACTTGATACTTCTCATCCAAATTGTAAGCTGTGGTCTTATGGATTTTCTGAATTATAAGGTCAGAGTCCCTGAAGTCATTATAAAGTCAGAGTGAATGCAAATGATGAGTTGAATTTCACTTATACATATATTCAGATAAACATTTTTATACAGAAATTAAAATGGAAACAGTTATCTGTTTTAAACATTCTCTCCATGAATGATCTGATAGTAAACAGTTATTTTGTCATTCATTTTCCTTACATTGCTTTGTAAAACCCTGGAGACTAACATGAAAAATGAAGCAGGTCCTGTCTATATAAATTTCCTGTGTAATTTTAAAGACTCTGTAAGCATGCAAATAACTTACTCTAAAATGCCATAATAAAAAAATAGGGTAGCATTACAAAAAATGAGACATGGATATATTTTATTTAATTAAGTATAATTCATGAGAACAAATTTCTATATGAGAAAATCTGAAGCTGTGGAGACTCCCTCCTGCTTTTCAGTAGAAGTGGGGCTGATTTCAGGCTTAAGAGACCAATGAGTCTGTCAGCCAAACAACAACTAATTGTAGGTACTGTCACATTGCTAGTCAACACACAGTAAATGATATTATTTGGACTTGAATTTGGCATGTGTGAACAGAATATTTCTATCGAGAGCTCCATCTTGTGTTATTGTGCACAAAGTTTTTATGTATCTTTGCTTTTCTCACTAGGAATGGCAGCCCAATGGTTTTCTTTTTCTTTTGACATTGTCAAAGACAAAGATAATATTTTTTTCCCCCTTTAGTCTAGAACAACATGAGAGAAAAATCCACTACAAATCAAGCAATTGGCACCCTACAATCTAAGCTCACATAATCCTCCCTGGTTCTGAAAGTGAGATTGAAGTCTTAGATTTATCTCTATTTTTCCTTTAGTTGCTAACAAGTTGTAGACAAATAACACTGGGCTTTTTTTCTTTTTTTTTTTTTTGAAAATAATAAATACTCAGAAATATCACAGTTCTAGAGAATTTTCACTTCATTAAAGTTTTTCTTGGAAGCTTATATCTTTTGTGACAAATAGTTCACAACTTCAAGGGAAAAGGAAAAAAAAAATTATTCCAGAGAAAATATTGAACAACTATTGCAGACAATGAATGAACAATTACCACCAACTAATATTTTGAGAACAGTCAAGCTGTCATTATTTCAGGCCAGAATTGTTAAGTTGAACAGAAGTTACTTCGTCCTATAAAAGAATATAATGAAATTGATAAATGATGGTGCATGCTGACAGAGGAGGTGAAAAAATCCTGGCAAAACTTTTCTCTATGGAGTACTTAACTGGGTAAAAAAATTAGAAAATTAAATCATTTTATAGGATCATTACACTGATAGTAGCTTGATAATTCCTACAGGGACTCTGAACCAAAAAGCTTTTTCCAGCCAAAACCAGAAATTCTTCTGGGACTCCTAAAAACTTGGGAAAAGCTGGGCTATATCCAGAATATGAATTCCCCTTGCACTAGTAACAGCTCTTTACAGAGGGAGGAAAATCTGAAAACTGAAACTAAGCTTTCTCAATCCTATAATAGTTGTACTTTTAAAACATAAGCTAAGTCCGTCTCTACAAATTTTCATCAAAGGCTGAAACCAGCACATCTCTATATGATAGCAAAAAAATTCAGGAGGTTGAGGCAGAGGTTTGATTGGTTATTAACAATTCAGTGCTCAACAAAGCAGAATAAAAGTATGAACTCTGGGCAATTCTCCCCTTTACTGCTATTCTACTGTATAACTCAAATCTGCAGAGGAAACTACATAAGATGACTGGCACAGTGAAAGTGCTATCAATTGTGCACGGAGGGTACAATATATGAACAGAAAAACCTTACATTCTTGGGATAGGAAATAGATTATTCTCTCCCGTGGCGCTGCTGCTGCCTTCGCTATCCATGCTGTAGCCACTGCCAAAGCTACTGGCTGATGAGCCAGTGGAGACAGAACTTTCTGCAGGTCGGTGATTAGCAGACCTTGCTGTACAGGGCAGGAACATTTGGTTACTAAAACTTGTAGGACATCAGTACCACCGGCATTAAGAAAAGAATATGTAATTTATCAAAATCACATGCTGCAAACACTTTCACTTTTATATTTCACATTCAAATATTGCTTTATCATATTTTTGCAGATGAAGTTTGTTTTCATGTAGAATAAGGTGTTCTAAACCAAATAGTACACCACCATATTTTTTTCTCCAGTCACGTTAATAGTTCAAATCAACAGCCTGAAGGAAAAAAAAAAAGGAACGTGATAGTATGATTAACACTGCTTTTCTGATTAAAGTGACAGAAAACCAGTTATTCATATGAAACATTTCATACAATAATCCTGTAAAAATGAAAGCCCCAGTGGGCCTTACTCATATTCCTTGTGAAATGTTCTTTGCTTTTGGTGATTTTGAAGAGAGAAGTTTGCGAAGATGTGTAAGCACACAACCTATAGTCACAGTGAATATCCCCACCCCTCTTCAGACATAACACAGCTATGCATTATATTTCTCAACTGCTCCTACCCATCTGGATCTCTGTTACTACATGCACAGAATTTTAATGAATGTGATTTGATGGGAGATGCCTTAATCTAATTCAATACCATTTGGTGTTAGTATACCATATGTTAGTTTTACTTCAGAGTGTGTTATTTTGTATTTTGGACATTACTGCACTACATGAACAAATCATCCAGTATTTCATATTTAGCAAGTTGAGAAATACAAAGGAAAAAGGACACAGTGACACTACACATAGTAATTAATACAGGAACAATAGAGTAGCTATTCTCATATTGAATAACACAATTGTCTGGGAATATTAATACAGATTTGGGGATTTTTTTCCTAAATGTCCTCTAATACATCTGCTATTTTCTTGTTTCATCTATTTCAACCTACTGAGCATATGTATTGAAGCTATAAAATACCGTTTTTCAAAGCTATTTTTCATGAAGACTTAATGAGATTTTATGTTATTTTGCTGAACTGTGAAACTCCTATGTAAGTAGTTAAAAAAGATTCTTCTTTAAAAATAAATTACTCAAGGATCTAACTGGAAAGTTAATAAGAGCCAGAGCCCCAACAGTGTCTTGCTTTAAACTGGCAATCAGTATTTTTTATGTCTGAGTAACTGAATAATATTTTTGGTGAAGAATGGTGCATGCTGCCTGATGGGGAACCAAGAAGCTGAGTGTAACTCCTCAAACATAATGCAAAAACAGGTGAGTACTAGAACTAGAAGCAATAAATGAAGCAATTCTTATGTCATCAATCCTTGAGCAAACTTTAAGACAGAACTCTTATTCTCTACAGTGATTCTTCACCGGTAATCCAAGTTGTCACATAACTTTTTTATCATTTCAACTCTATTAATCTCCTTTGTTCCACTATTGCCCACAGCCAGAAGTGGAATACAGATTCCACTGCAGTCAGATAAAATTGTTTGCAGATAAAATTATTCTTTAGCTCTATTCCATGACTTTATACATTGATCATAGGCTGCCTTCTTAGAGGTAAATACAACAGAATAAATTTTAAAATCATAGTGTTATGAGCAGATAGTTTCAATATTTCACCTGGAGGAAAGGCACCCATGTTTTTCCAGGGAGACAGCTACCTGGGGTGGCTGTGTGCAGTGGTTGCTCTATCACTTTCAGCTGGTGGTGCTGTGAGTGAATTCCTACGTCTGTGCTGGCATGTCAGCAAAATGCTGCTGAGAAATGCTGGGCAAGAGTGACGTTTCAGAGATGAGAGGTCAAACTCTCAATTATAGCACATTATTTCCACTTGCCTTGTATTTAACAGACTGAAGTGTGGCTCTCTCATGCCTGTCCCAAACTAATTAATTACCTCAGTTCTCATTGTGTTTGCATGACCTCTATGTCTCCCATTGTTTTCTGTTTGGAATTCTGAGAGTTCCTTTAGGTTAGGTTGTTTAGACAGCTTTTTTTTGTGCCATGGCATGACACTTGCCTCACAGGTGAGTACAAATGGGAGATCAACACATTTGCAAAATCCATGGAAGCCAAAACAATATTGTGCCAATTCAGAAAAGAATCTTCAGGCCTTCCCTTAGCCATGAATTTGCTTAGTGTAGCATATATCTCCACCATAACATATGTGGCCTGAAAGGATCTTTTATATCTAGGATATATTTTTACTGTCTTTGCTTTAAAAACTAATGTCTGAAGTAATTTCTTGTACCTTTACTGGTGGATTTCTAAAACCAGTAAGGACGTAGAATTTAGTTCAATCCAGAAAAGCTTGAATTAAGCCTTTAGAAATGGGTTAGAAGTTTTGCTTCATCTATTTATAATCAACCCATAGCTGTTTCTTTTGAAACAGCTGTATCCTGATTACACATTCAGTATGCTGTATTTTTAGTTTTTCTACTGTTTTCACCAATTCACATAATTTTCCATATCAATGTTTATTTTCCATAAGGTCACTTCACTTGGTGAATGGTTATAATGGATCCAAGTTTAGGTTCATGACTGGATTTTGAACACTCTCAAGTTTAATTTCATTTTTTTTCCCTGCCTGCTCTATGAAAGTAATGAATCACAGTGTCAATTTGTGACAAGAAATGAAATCCACAAATAGATTTACAGCTGGTTTAGTGACAAATTCAGAATCTGGATGCAGAGATCATCTCATAACTTGTGAGACACCCACATTTTCTATATGTCAAGATTTTTACAGATACATCTAGGCCTCTAAGTTTCTGCTGGTTATATATGAAACTTTGGGGTTCTGATGATGTGGCAATGCTTGCTACCGTGCAGTATTTTCCCTGAGCGTTAGTATAACTATGGTTATATTTCTACTCTGTGTGGAAAGATAGAACCAGTTCCATGCTCTTATATTCAAGAAACTACTCTGCACACTCATTTGCAGTCTTGCCTCTTCTCTTTGAATATTGGCAAACATTGTCTTAGAAACTTTAACAAGGAAGTCAGAGTTCACTATGTTGCTCCTCTAGTCCTACCCATCTACACAAAATCTGTGAAGTCCTGAAAGTGTCAGAACAATTTCCACCTTGCTTGGTCAATTGGGTTCATACCCACATAAAGGACAGGCAACTATTGCATTATATTTCATTTTGATTTTACTTTTAATCATGGTATTAGGGCAGGTTAATTCTGAGTTACAGAGCTTCTGCTTACAGCTGCCTATGCTAGAAAATTCTTTAGTCCATGGATTTTGACATCAAAGTTCTGGCAGGAGGTGCTTTGGTTGGTAGCGTTTGAACAGTTTCATATGGATCCACTTGGGTCCAAAGATTAGATATTGTCACCTGGTATCACAAAGGTTCCTGAAGCTACCAGGTACAGTTTTGCTTTACTGACATCTACAATGTTTATCTGAATAGGAACACAGGTGAAGGCACTTTCCATCATTTAAATATTAAGGATCCAGAGTGTGGAAGACCTATGTTTCATTGCTTCCTTGCCCCTTTGGTTTTGCAAATTATTCCCCAGCTCCTATGAGCCCCCCCAGCCCCCAAAACAACTCCAAACCCAACCAACCCAATAAACAAATTTAGAAACTCTCAGAAAGCTTTAAAAACTATAAAAATACTTGTCAAAGGCGAGCTCTTGCTGCCAATTACATGTGATTCTTAAAGTGCCACATCTTTAGAGAAAAGACTCTATGGCCCTCAGCAGATGAAAGAGACAAAATTTAACTGAAGGTCATTATGCACCTTCATTTGGCCTCTCTCTGGGAGAAAGGAGATATCCCTTCACCCCCTCCAGCCCAATTTCTGTAAACTCTTTACACAGTTTATCAGGTGCTTGGCACTTTTTAAGGCCTGCAATATCATGATGTCTGGGCTGCCCAGCCATTTAACTCTGAAGAACAGAAATATGAAATGAAAGTGTAAAACTCTACTATGAGCTGCTTTCTCTGAAATAGGGCACAGATTTTCCTATTATAAAAAGCTATTGTTGTGGTTTGATTTCATTTTCATCTGTTAATCCTTTTTTAGCTGGGAGTTCCCTTGATGAGATGAAATGTTCTCTACTTGGAATGGGTGTTAATGGGTACATATGTCACATTTAGTAGTTTGAAATGTGGTGTTAATGCTGCCTCTGAGGGATTCAGTTAAACTGCCTGTTTTACAGGCTCTGTCATGAGCAAAATTTCGGGTCAATCATTCTAGTGAATAATGTATTAATGAATTGGAAAACTTCTCAACTGCTTACAGTAATTATTTCAGGTTCCAGGAAAGTGGATGATAATTTTATTCCTGGTGTAGGACCAGGGTTTCCCAAGAAAAAATTATAATGCTTAGATAGATACCTTTTGTACTCTGCATGGTTTCTAGGAAAAATAAAAAAATTCAACAGAATGATGATTGGACATGTATTCCCTTATGCCTTTTTGGAAAATAATTGCTAATTCAATAAAATGGAGGTTAGCACTGACCCCACCTTTCAGCTCCATCTTTTTATTTCTATTTTTTAGAATTATTATTCGTATGGCAAAAATATATATTTACTTATGCTTTGGCTGATGGACCCAGTTAGAAAAAAGACCAAAAAATGTCATGCCTTAGTATGAAGAAAATATCATATTAAAATCGGGAAGAGAGGAAAGCTTGGAAGGCATATGATTTCACTTAATCTTTCAGAAGAGTGTTTTCAACAGACAACAGAGAAGATGCTGTGTTAAAACCTAATATAGGGACCATAGATCATTCACACAAGACCTATAACCAGGAGCTACTAAATTAGTCAGCAGAAAAATGGAAACAATCCAGCACTCTCAGCCACTCCAGTCATTCTTCTACACTGAATGGAATTTTTTTAAGACTTAAATTTTAAAAAGTTGACTATACAGTTCTGTGGTTCACATGGAGGAAAGAACAGACTCAACCAGCACTTTTTCTTGGTGAATAAATTGTAGATGTTCTCCTTTTCCAGTTTCTGTCTAGAAACAGAAATACACTGTCAAAATGCATTGGGAGCGACAGTTCTGTTTGTGCACCAAACAGGAGGAGGGAAAAATGCCTTCAAGTATGGATTCAGGATTAAGTTTCCACAATTAGCCTCTAATTACTTGAAAGAAATTCTTTTTTTAACTGTCCATCTTCTGAGAAACTCTGGATGACAAAAAAGGCTGAGTCTTCTCAAAGAGATTGCAAGCCCATGGGACAAGGTGAAAAAACCCATGTACTCTGTGTAATTTTCTGAAAACCAACAGACCAGGCATCTCATTCAGTGTCTTTTGGCAAAAGCTTGGCTGCCCTTCGCTCTCAGTAGCCTTGTGTTTCAAGTGCTCCAATCTCAAAGTGCCCCAAATGCCAGTTTTCCTGTTTTTATGAAGCATTTGCTAGCATTAAAAGCAAGAGCTGCTCCAGCTTGCTCTGTTAGGCTCTACAGGGTGAAATTGCTGTTGGGATTCTTGTTGCATCTTTTGTAAACTGGCAACAGACTGGGGATGCATTAACAGCTGGTGATCAAACATATCTACCTCAGGTGAGCCAAGATAGTTTATTCTCCTAACGCTCCCTCATACTGAACAGGACTTTAAGCCATGGTCTCATCCTTCTCAGCCACAGCTGTGTATCAGACATGGATTTGACTGCACACTGAGCAGGGATATTTTGTGAAATTTTGAGACAAGCCTTTGAGGAGAAATTTACCATTTGAGATGAATAACAGAAGAACAACACACTTCTTAAACTGTGCTGAAGTAATTACTTTACCCAAGAAAGCAATTTGGATGAAATAACTTTCCATGCACTCTGTAGGGTTAGTCTACAGAATGTTGAAAAAATACTTTTGAAATAAGAGTTTTCAAATGAAGAAGCTTAACTATTCTCTGAAATTACATGCCAGCTTAAAATGGTGAAATAGTAAATAGCAAGAATAACCAAAGCATAATGGGTCAGTTATTAGATTGAAACAAGGTTGAAAAGACAGCCTCAGATTACTGCTATATGCAGAGAGTGGGAACAAACTGTTCTTGTTTTGATAATGATTCTTGGAAATGCGTTATTTGTAGCATTATGAAGGCCCATTTAACTTGGAAATTAAGAAACTAGTGGGCATGAGTCACTAAACAGCTTTGGGCTATAAATTATTTAAGTGTGAAAGAAATACCCTAAAATAATATAGGAAATTAAAACATGGCATTGCCTATTAAATGTGTGAAAATGGATACAGACCAAAAGGGAACCCAAATTAGCAGGTATTTGAAACCACATTCATATCCAACTCAGAAGATTTATATAACCTAGGAATCTATTTCCTTTCACTCTATTGTTGCTAAAACCAGTAAATAGAACTTAGTGATAAGGAAAATTCATGTCAATTTTAATTTCTTTCAGTTAAGTGGCTAGAAATACACAGAGCTGGCTCAGACTTGTATCATGGGCTGCACAGTCATGACAATGTCTTGATGTATGCATCACATCACATTTCTGTGCAGCTTTACCCTATGATGTTGACACTTAAGTGAACTTGTGTCAAAGTTGTCTGCTCAACATAGTTATAAGCAGGTGTTCTACCTTTTGAACTAAAGTGTTTTAAACTGGTATTCTTTGAGATGTTTAAATTGATAGGCTTAATTGGGTATAATTCTGAAAATGTTGATATAGAGTTTTGAAACTGTAGGTATTCTAACTAACAATATCAACTCTGTATACCTATCAGGGAGTAGATCTCTCCCAGCTAGTAGAATCCCTTGACATACAACTGTTTGGAAAAGATGTTGTGTCATGATGGAAAATGAGAAATGTAAAAGATGAAATGTTCTCTATGACATGCTGTGGGGCTCCATTTTCTCCCATCCTCCTCACCTCCACCATCCCCACCCCATTATTTTAGTGACGAAAAAAATATAATACCAGGTGTCAGAGGATGTTTTAAGGAAATGTTGTTATTTTAAATTGCTAGAGGTTTGATTTTTGAAATACCTTTCCCTTATTGAAAATTAGACAGAAATTCCTGTAGAATTATAATGCTGGTATTACCTTAAATTAACAGATATGTTTGGATCTTTAATTGAAACACATGGCAATTTCTCTAGATCTTTAACATTTGCTAACTAATTCAGGTGAGGAGTATAGAAGTGTTTTTATTATGGCAAGTTTCTTGTTTGTTTGATCAGGTTAACGTGAGCCAAATAGAAGAGGACTTTCCTATGGCATCCATCAGCAAATTATATACAAGCAATAGCATATTGACTTGTAGCTTCTTTTTCATGAGTGTCTGTTGGAAAGAATAAAAAATGTATAGGGCTGCAATGATGTTGAAACTTAAATTCACTTGCTGAGCTATTTACTATTATATTAATTTACTGTTCTTCAAAGAGGTATGAAGGTTCAAAAAATTTCTAGAAATTCTCTTATTTGGTCATAAAATAATGGGTTTTTGTTCACCCTTGGATATTCTAACGTAATAAAGGAATTGATTGTACAATCAATTGTACAATCATTGTCCTTTAGGGGAAAACCTGGCATCTCTTTCTCTGCAAAAAAGAACAAGCCAATTAAATTTCTACTATGGCAAAGCCGAGGTAGTGCACCTTTCTGCTTAACACAGATGCTGAAGTTTTTTTCTGTTTCTTGTATTTCTTATTAATTTTATTGGAAGGTATTAAAACTACAGCATGTTATTCATTCCTTTAAATCTATAAGCTAGGTTTGAAAATATTTTCTTAGTATAAAATCAGTAAAAAATTATATTCCAAATTCCTACTCTTTCACATGCATGTATCCAGAGAACTGGTGATGTTCTGAATAAACAGATCATCTCCAAATTTTCAAGTATCTGAAGAACTCTAAAATAATTTATTGAAAACATAACTGACATAACAAGAAAATTCCATATAATGAGAAGATCCTTCTGTGGGATAAATTACTGACTGAAAAGATGGTGGACTGATTCACACTGTGTCTAAAACTGACTCATCTGGTGGATAAACTCTTAATACACAGATTTATGTTGAAGGGAATGTGCTTAATTTTAAGTGAATGTGTAATTGGAAATGATTCATATATTGCACAAAACCTAAATCAAATTAAGCCATCCTCTGACTTGGATCCCTTGCAACTTCTGGCTTCAAAGAGTTGGCTCTGAAATATTATTGTTCCTCTCTGAGGAATGTGATTGGAAAGTGTAGCATGCAGTTTGTTTCTTTGTAGATCACACTTTTATCTCTCATTGGCAATGACAAAATTATACTTCAGGGTTTATTTTTAATTAACTGCTGTAGCCGAATGTTGGATTTTACAAAGGTTCTGAGCAAAATGCAATGTTTTTTGTTGCATCTTCACTTTAATTTTAAAGAAGATTGTTTTAATTACATTTTTTACTCTTCAAAAGAAATATATAAACAATTCAGTTCAACAAAAAACTGGTGAAAAACCTTTGTTTTCACAAAATATGCACTTTATGCTATAGGTTCTGATGTTGTTTATGATTTTCTTGTTACTTCTCAACAGACACACAATTGATAACTGACAAAATAGACCAAATAGAAAGGGTCCTAGGAACCAAAAGTAGAGAAGGATTTCTCTGAGACATTGTCAGAATGACTGAGGATTCTTGCCTTGTTTGGTTTGTTTTTTCTCTAGAGCCAGTTAAATTCAAGAGAAGAAATGGATCTATTGAGAGACTAGATCAAAGAAGGACACTCTTTCTGAGGGTTATCTTAGGTATAGAAGGACTTTACAGCATATAATAATTTCCATCACCCTTGTGTACTTAGGCTGAAAAAACCCAAACAATTCTTCTAAAAGGTGCTGTTGTTTAATATATGCACAAAGAAATAGCTCTGGTAAAATAATAATAATGATGTTGTGTATTATCTATAATGGCTTCCTTCGTAAAGGGCTTTGAGACAGTAACAAAAAATTACTAACGATTGTTAAAAATTACTAAGATGACTGTTCCAGTCATTAAAACCAGTTCCTAATGCATCCTTTTCCAGCTACCAATAAAGTAGGGTATAATGGAGGTAGATATCACAAACATACATTATCCCTTTTTGGGAATGGACTTGGAAACTGATGATACCCTGATATTCACAGTTCACAATTAAGGAGAAATCTCTCCTTTCTTTATCATCTCTTCATCCCACAAAGAAGTCCATAAGTTAGAAGTTGAATATCTTTGGTGCTTTTTCCATTAGAGGCTATAGACTCATACTTTCATGCTCCACAAAACTGCAGTGAAATCATATTATTTTTCATTCCTGCTAAAAGTCGTGAGAGTCATTAACCTCAAAATGGTAACTACTAGCCCAACTCATATGAATACATTTGGACAAACTATCTTTGGTACAATGAAGAAAAGCCAAAACATCTCACAGTTCTGAAAACAGACTTTTAACCATTGTGTAGGTGACCATGCATTGTGTTTATTTGTCAGAAGTAAAAAGACAAAAGTACTACATGTCTTCATAAAAATTTTAACCATTTTTATATATTATTGTGGACTCATTATTATAATGTGGACTCATTATTTATAATGGGGACTCTTATTCCCATAACTCTCTATGATGCTTCCAATATTGCTGAGCCAAGTACATATCAGTACATATTCTTTTTGCAATTTTAAAAGAAGATAGAATAACAGTTTGTTGGCACAGGCACTTGAAGCCAACAGACTCACTATTTCTTTATTATAAAACTATATCTGAACCTTATATATTCAACCTTACATCACAAGCTAAATGTTTTGTATTACCTGTCTACGTGAAAAGGCATCACTACAGGACTATGAGTGTTTGCGATAAAACTCAACAGACACGGCATCTCAAAAGATCATAAGAGTCATTTAAATTTGAATGGTGTACCCCCAGGAGTGGCATGCAGCTTTCAGACATGATGCCTGAGCTTGTACCACAACATTCCCTAGCTCTGCCTGGGCTGAGTGTCTAGAGGTGAGCTGTAGAGCAATATAATGTGTGTCTGTGTTTGTGTAAATATCTGGATTTCTGAAAGAATTCTAAGGGCTCTCCTAAGAAAAAAACTTACTTCTAAATATGCTTTAAAAGACCTGTTACTTTTGCCCTGTTAATTAGTTGTTTTAACATCGCACTGGTTGTCTGAATGATTTGTTGCCTTTAGAATATATTGTCTAACGTACCATTTCCTCTTTCTCTCCTGTACCCCTCTCAGCCAGCTTATATTGTCCATCATGTGCAATGGTGGTGACAGAAAAACCTTCAATTCATCTTGAGAGCTTAGAAAGGGATTACAGCACAAAAGAACATCTGGGAGTTCAGTCAGTACATTTATTTGGATTATCCCTCAGATTCCATGGAAATAAACAAGATGCTCCACAAGTCAAAAGAACAGTGGCAATTTGAACTGATTGAGATTCTGGCTCTTTATTTGTGATGAGGGAATAAATAGATGATATGTGGTATTACAGGTGCCTACAAGTAGAAAATAACTTTTAACGATGCTGATAGGAAAATTATCAAGAAATTGAGCTATACATGGATCAAAACTCCTTTCCTTTCCATGGTGGTTTGAAAAATTATCTATGCTAAAAACTGTTGACATGGTAATTGTGTTGGAAGAGGAAACAGGAATTATTATTGTCCCAATTACATTTTAAGAAACAAAAATGTGCAGTTAGGTTTTTGTCACAGTACAAGAAATGTCCAATCATGCTTAAGCAGACCAGCTTGGATGCATGCTTTTTATTAGGCAACAACATGAGCAAAGCTATACTACTTTTCAACAGAATTCCAAGTACTCCAGTGGAATGGAAGTGCACACATTTGTTGCTTCATAATGCTTCTTAGCACAGTTTTTCATTATGGATTTATGCGCTGATAGGTGGGAAAATCAAGCAGAGTTCTTGATTCATGTAAACATTTACAGCACTTAATGGAGGGGTAAAATAAATACTTAAATATCGCAATGAATTAGTTGACATGGCAAGAAGTATTTGGGATGTTGTTGGTTTCTTAACCATGTCTTTCTGCTCACCTCCTTCAGGCTTGACTGGTCCATCAGACATCACTTTCCTGAGGGCTAGTTGGCTTTGGTCTTTGTTGTCACTGGCTGGTGGAGGCAGATTGTCAGACTGAGTTCTTTGAATGGGGAGGACTCCTGCTATGCTGTGTCTGTGCTGCTTCCTGGCATGATTAGACTGACCGCTTTTATGTGCTGCTGTGGCAGTGTGGGTGAAATGGAAACCCAGAGTATGTATCCTCAGATGGAACCAGCTTAAATGTTATTCATGCAAACAGAAGTGGTTTTTTTCTGTATTTAAGTAAGTAGTGTTTTCAAACACCAAAGAGACACCACATGCACAGCATTAAAGAGTATCAAAACTGGCTGTTTCTGTAGCAATGACAGTGAAGACAAGGGAAATAATTTCCCCCCCAGTTTTCCATTGTACTATGGTGAGGTTATGGCATATTAACAAATCCTAAAGACAAACACAATGACTTCACAGTCAGAGATTTAATTTGCCATCAACTAAACCCTCAGCTAGCAATCAGATGATACTGGTCTGAAATATACTCTGGAAAGTAATCATTTTTAATGGAATAGTTTTAATTTATTTTAACCTGTTTGAAGTTGTCAGATTAAATCTACCTTGACCCTTAACCAATTAATGGTAAAAATTTACTCAAAAAGTTGAACTCTTGACACCTGACTTAACTCTCAACTCCCTTTGAGTTTGCTAACTTGACAACATTGTTGAAATCTGATATTGTTACTGGCTCTGTGTGTTTAATGGTTTTGCAATTCTTGTGTTTAATGTTTTTATTGTATTTCTATTCTGCTCATCACTAACACAATCTTATCCACGATATAAACAAGGTTGCCTTATATTTCCTTTCAAAAAAAAATAAAATAGATATTTACAGTTATGTTCCAAAAATAGAAATCTCAGCCATGTAGTTAAAAAAAAAAAGTTTCTTTAACTTCAGATCTTCTTTTGAGTATATAGTACTGTTCTTCATGATTACTACTTATAGATACACCCTGTTATTAATGTGGTCTCAGTCTTATATGCAATTTGAAGAGCTGGCAGTTGCATCTCTGCAGGTTTTGATTATTTCATTGGTAGGTATTTAGTGACATCAAAACACAATGGACTTCTCTGGGAGTCATGCACAACCATGGAACATCATGGACCATGAGTGAAGGGTCTGATGGAGAAACAGCCAGTTTCACTGCAGTCTTTATAAAATAAAAAATAAATAACTAAATAAAGGACTTCTAAGTACAAGAGTATATTGTAATTATATGTATCCACACACAGGCACACAAAGAAAGACATTGAACAGAGTGAGCACAGTGTGCCGAGAACAACAACAAAAAAAAATAGCCAAAAAGGGAAGGACAGCAGGGAAAAAGGCAACAGATGAACATTAAGCTGCCATGCTGAGGAATTTATTTGCGTCTTTTACTTGGTTGAAGGCGAAGCTGCTGCACAGCTGCTTCGGCAGCGGCGATGGCTGCCCCAGCGTCTTCAAGGTGAGTTTGAGTGACGCTGGTTTTGCTTTGGCTGCGAGATGGGCCGTGAGAGCGGAGGTGTCCTTCAGAAGAAGATTTGGAGCTCCCTGGGCTGCTGTGGGATTTCTCAATGGTGGGCACCTGCATGTCTACCAGGAAAACGAAGAAGTACAACTCTTGCATTTATTAAAAACAAACAATTGCATTCTCTTTCTCTTGACTGGTCTTTCTAGCTGAATTCCAGAACAAGGAATAAAGATTAAGCTGTGCTTTTCCATTTAAAGCATCAGGATATACCACGATTATGAAACTTTTATGAAGCATTGTTTTATACTTCCCCACTGTTACCTGGCCCAGGGAATAATTTATTTAGTATTGGTTTTTAATCACCTGTGAATTGGACCTCCTGTGCTGGTTCAAACAGATGGAATGATGGCGTAGTGTTTTCCACTTTCTATTCTCTAGCATGTCAAGGCTAAGCAGCATCACCTACACCAGTACCAAACACTTAGTAAATGCAAGTCATTTTATCCTGAATAATGCCATCAGGAAAATCACAGCCTAACTAATAATATCTTCTATACTTACCACTAATTCAGGCAGACATCTTATATAGACACCAGTCAGTCCCTGGCAAAACGTTAAATAGAGAAATAGAGAGGAGATGGAGTAGAGTCTTGTCCCTCTGGGGTTCTTGTCTGGATTGTAGATGGAATGTTTTTTGCTTTGATAGGACACATAATGTGTTTTAAGAGAGCACCTGTCCACTGACTACTTAGTATAAAAAAAAGAATTAGAGATAAATTTCTTGAAGCAGGAGACACTGAGATCAATTCAGGTTTTGTAAACATTAGTATATTTCTACTGTATCAGCTCCACTGATTTCCAATACCACTGAGATGTGCTACAATCCATTATCATTGACTGGAAACGCATATGCATTATTGCATATTGCAATTGTTCTATAAAATATTAACGTGGCATTTTCAGAAGAAAAAAGATTCCATAGAATACTTAAGGAACATGAAAAATAGAAAGCTAAATATGTATTGAGTTTGCCAAAGGCTATCAAGAAAATAAAAAGGGCACAGAATCTATAGCAGATATGCAAAGCACATCTAGAGTAGTAGGTGAGTCTGTATGCTGGTGTTTTAAGGACGTAATTGCTCAGTAAGCTGGCTGGCAAGATTGAGACAATTTAAACCTTGTCTCCAGCTAATTAATCACAGAGATAAATGCATTTTTAATAAAAATGTATACAAACTTCATACCAGTGTCTTTATTTTTTCTATTAGAACTTACACATAGTAAAGGTTTACACATCATCTGGGAAAATATTTCGTATCAGGTGCACCAAGTCATTCCTACCCTTGGAGGGGTCCGGGAAGATTCCATGACTTCTGCTCTTGATGACAGATGGTTTTGGAGATTGCTGGCTACTCTTTTCAGAATGAGATTTCCCATGGTCTATGTTTTCACTCTGTTCTTTAAGAGGATACCACCGAGGAGTGTTGTCAAGCTGAGAGATGCTGGATAACTCAATCAATACCTACAAATAAATAAAATTATAATATATGGCCTGTATCTGACCTATTTATGATTGCATACATCAGAAGAGACTAGAGCTGTGTTGTCAGAAGTTGCAATCAAGAGAAAGAGTGAAGAGCATAAGGCTGTGTGCTGACACATTCAGGACTTTCTGGGCATGCTGTGACCCCAAACCCAGATTCAGCAGCATATTGATGTGTCTGAACCAACAACTCTTCTCACTGGGACCTCAGTCAGGACTGTGAGCTGAGTCCTTTGACTGTGGCATAGCTCAACCCAAAGAAAACTGGGCAGTTTAGAGGGCAGCTTGTGAGCACTAGTTTGACAGCTACAGTAAAAAGACATTACAAAGCTATCCAGCCATTCTGCTTCTGCACAGACATTTTCTAATAGGAGATGCAAGCAGTATAATTTCTTCCTTTTATCAGTGCATTTAAGGGGGGAAAGTTGCATATTTGATTTTATTAAGGTCTTCAATAATATGAGGCTTATGCTTATTGGGTCTTTAAAAATCCACATATGCAGAAGTAAGTAGCAACATAAAGAAAAGAAAAAGGATTATTCTTGTACTTCACTAAAATGATAGAATTCAACTGACTATTTAGGTATCTAAACATTACTGAGGAAAAAAACAAAAACAGGAGGTGCAATGGTAATGTGGGAATAAAACAAATAAACTGGCTTAAAAAACCTGCAAATATTGTAGATGAAATCTTCCCTAAGCCACCTTCATTGTTAGCAGGACTTTAGTGAAATTACTTTTAAATAATAAATGTTAAAAAAAAAAAAAAAAAAAAAAAAAAAAAAAAAAAAAAAAAAAAAAAAAAAAAAAAAAAGAGCATGGGAACCAAAAAGACCCTGCCTCCTTTAATAAGCTTGCAATTGAGAGGGCCAAGGGATGTAAAGTACTGATATTTATCACAGAATCTTGAAAAAAGGAAGGTCAAAAATAGATTTGCATCTGGCTCTAAAATGAGAGGGCTAAAACTAATGTCAGGTAGGGAAGTTTTAAAACTGCTAGACAAATAAAGTGTGCAATTACCTCAGGGAGCAATGTTTTTGTCACTTTATTACAAACCTTGAATTAAAGAAAGCCTCTTCAAGTATAGGGATGGGGAAGTCTCCTAACAACTGATGGTTTCTAGGTTAAAAGCCTTTTTCCTTCCCTTTTTTTCCTTTTATTTTTATAGGTTGTCTATGATCTGGCTTGGTCTTTCTGGTTAGACCTATAATTAATCTTAACAGATTAACTATTCAGCATGCTCCCTGTTGTGGTTTTCAGTCAAGCTTTGAAAATGACTTGGAAGAGAGCATGGCTGAGGACTGGTGCCAATGGGCAGCGTGGGCTGGGGGCTCTGCTTTGTAGGAGGAGAGGTTTCACTTTCCGTGGATATGAACCTTGATGTGCCACTTCTCTGGGGCACACAGGTGCTGCTGGGTCTATTCAAGCAAGTCTTTGGGGCACGATTTGGATATCCCACACCTCATGTTATGGTGCAGGATTCCTCTGGATGCCCTGATGCTGAGATACACCGGATAGTCTCTTCTGTTGCTTTTTTCTCTGAATAAATGCTTTTACAATTAAAAAAAAATAATTCTAGATGTTGAAGAAAATTTGAAGGGGAAAGGTTTAAATCTTCAGTTGCTGGAGTACCCCTTTTCTAACTGTCATAAAAAACAAGGATGTAAATATTCAGTAAAGCCCTGCATTTGGACAAACATGCTGAACTCAACAAGAATATAGACACAGTATGCAGGAAATAAGTAATCATTTGGAGCTTCCTATACATTTATTTTAGCAATTGTTAAAATAGTGACACTGATTGCTCAGTTTGGTAGTTACACAAAGGGGAGCTGGAGCTGAACTGTGTGGCTTTTTTTCAGAATTCAAATGTAGACTAAACCCAGATACTCTCAGTTACTCTGCACAGGAGATAGATTTTCAGTGCTTTTGTTTCTAATTATAATCTTTATTTGTAATTACATCTTTAATTATTTTTATATCATAGTTATTGCTGGTAATTCTGTATTATATGTGCATATGTTTATTTATTTGTTTTTTAAAGAGAGAGCCTTCTTCCCATGAGCACTCATTTATTATTAATTATAAGATTAGATTTTGCCTTAATTCATGCTTTGGTAGTGATATTACTATTTCAGAATGTTAAAAATCAGACTGATCAGTAAGATTAAATTGCTCATACTTGAAGATACTTGTGCATGTGTTAAAATATGGCTTGATGACAGAATTTAATGCTTTAATCATTTACAAAGACTAATACCTCCTCAGCCTTCCTATGTTATGGTAAAAGCAAGTCAGACAGCTTTCAGTCATAAAAATAATTTCCCCTGGAGTCACTTTGAATTTTATTGCTATCTGACATTCAAAAAAAGTATTCATTTTCAGCAAATTAACATTTTGTTGGGTCCTAAATTAGCTTGCCCCCAGCTAATCAAGATAAAAGTGACATATCTTTCATGTCTAATGAAAGAAATAATGACCATTTGTTAAGAAGACAACAGTAAAACTGGCATGTAAAGAAACCATTTTACCTAATACATGTACCATACCTTGAAAGAGAACAGTCTCCAAATAACAGCCTGCAGTTATTACTAGTAGAGAGGAAGAAATAAGATACTCACTTCACCAAGGAAATCATTTGAGGAAAATCTGTCATAATCCCAGACAGTCACTTCCAGTGTTTTCTTTTTCAGCTGGAATTCAAGTAAAAGGATGATTAAATTAATAAACTCAGATCAAGTCTTTATGGTTGTTTCTATAGATTATTTCCTCTATGTATCCTTGTTCATAGAGACAGGTAATTTTCACCCTCTTATCAACCTTGTTCTGAGAAAAATAATTTGGCTCAATTATTTGTTATTGAGACAGATGGGCTTGTGCTTGGCCCTATTTTAGGAATTCCCACAAGTTGTTTTGGGCGGAATTTCTGTCCATTACAAGTCAAACTGATTTTTAAGGCCCCATTTTTTGTTCCTGTAGCTTTTCTCATCACCAGATCTGTCTGAATGCAGACATCTGCCTGAAGTACATCTGAGTGTGAATTTCAAATGTATGATATCAAACACCCTCTTTACATAACCTCATCTGTGAAGACCAGGCTTTAATGCCTGCAGAATTCAGTGTAGTCAGTGAGTCTGCAAGTGATCCAGGCATGTGGACAAATAATACTGTTGGGTATTAAGGACAGCTGTCAAAACCCATTATCTGCAAAACTTGTTGGCTTGATAGCTGTTTCCAGCACTCTTCTATAGGCCATAGTGGGAAACTCCTAATCTTTATATATGACAAGAGAGCACAAGACAGAGAAACTGTTGACCAAAGTAGTTGACCTTATTGTAAAGAATGACCTGAGAGTTTTTCCAGGAGTCTCTGAGGACATGTAGGGGCAGGATTGATTACTGATTTTGCGTGCTGGGGCAGAAAGCTATAAGGTGGCTGGAAAGGCAGTCATAAATTCATGTGAATTGAAAGAAATAAGGACAAAATCCTGTGGGTTGTAGCGTGTCTGCATAGTCAGGCTGAGAAGTTATAAGTGAAGAATGCAAGCATTACTGAAGAAAAGAGAATTCTTCACATACTTGAATTAAAGAATTCAGAAGATGAATTCTTATGTGATAGTTGAGGTCGTCATCCTGACAGAAACAACCTGCCACTCACTGCTCTATTAATTGGCTGCTGGGCACAGAGGGACAGCAAAGGATCAAGTCATTGCTCTAAATGATAAGCTATACCAATTATTGTACATATTGCATATACTTGCCATGAAAGCACTCTTGGCTATTTAAAGAACTACAGAATATTCTGAGCTGGGAGTGACTCACAAGGATCACTGAGTGCAGCTCTTAAGTGGATGGTCTGTACATCCAGGATCGAACCCACAACACGGCTGTTATGGGCACCATGATCTCATCAATTTCCCTCCACTGCCCCTTCTTTTCATGCAGCAACAGACTAAAAGAGTTCCTAACAACCTGCAGTTGCCTTTAAGTGATAATTTAATCTCATCATTATGTATTCAGAATATCATCTGCTCCCAGCCAACTTTAGGAAAATGCGCAACAGTGCAAAGCCGATGTCTATGAAAAGTTAATTTAAATCAGCATATCCTGGAAAACCCACACAAAGAGGAATTAAACTATTTTTAGCATCAACAATGTACTCTTTAAACAGGGAAAAGCATGACTTAAAACCTAAGATTTTTAAAAAAATATTTGAGAGCAATTCTTTAATCTTTCTGTTTTATCCTTACATAATTGAGCAATATTCTTACACATTCATTTAAAAAAATCCTGCAAAAATTAAAGCAAAATTTGATCAGAAATACTATTCTTGTAAAATTTTTTACATAATATTTCTAAAACTGATTTTCTTGACTGAATAAAATACTTTTTCTTTGCTGTTCCAAGACAGTATTGAAACTGCAGTATGAAAAATAACCTGAAAAAGTGAGCTGAGCACCTATTGGTCCATGATGCTTTTGGCTTCTTGGATGATACAATTTTCTGCCAGTGCTATATTTAGAATATGTATTTTTACCATTTAAAAAAGGGATAGCACAAATACTTTTCAGAAATGTATTGTAACAGTTGTTGCTATTTTGAGAGATTTCTTCTTAATGACTTTGCAAGGACAGAGAGAAAAATTTATAGATCCAGGAAATGGAGAAATAAAATCCCTAAAGTTTGAAGAATTTTTGGT